AGCCTACAGCACCCGGTATTCCCAGGCGGTCTCCCATCCAAGTACTAACCAGGCCCGACCCTGCTTAGCTTCCGAGATCAGACGAGATTGGGTGTGTTCAGGGTGGTATGGCCGTAGGCGAGGACCCTCTCTTCTGTCTTCCCCTTTCCTTTCTTTGGATAGAAGGGACTAAAATCACCCACAGATTTACTGGGAAAGGCATAACTGTTTTGGTCCTATTGGGTACTGCTCTTAGAAGAAGTGATATATCTGCAGTATGGCGCAACATTGGTTATCCAGGGAAAAGTTTCAGAGGGTGGCCAAGTTGGTCTGCACTAGAACAGCTAGATTCAAGTCCAACAAGAGTTTCTGAGTATGAGGTCTTGAGAGTCAAAGCTCCCAAATTCTTGTTGGTCTCTAAGGGGCTACTGGACTCAAATTAGGGTTGCCAACCCCCAGATGGGGCAGTCTTCAGATGACAAGGAGCAGTTCCCCTGGAGAAAAGGGCTGCTTAGGAGTGTGGACTCTGTAGCAATATACCCTGCTGATGTCTCTCCTCCACCCAAAACCTGCCCTCCTCACAATCCATCCCCCAAATCTCCAGGTATTTCCCAACCCAAAGTTGGAAAGCCTAGCTGAAATCCAGGGAAAAGTGATTTGCTTCTGATCTTATTCTGTGTCTTTGGTTGATCTGTATTCTTCTTTCAAGAGATGTTGCTGACATAAGACTTCTGGGCCAAACTAGATGTGACATCTGCCATGAGTTGACTTAGATGACATCCAGGAACTAATGTTCTAAATATCCCTGGGGCCCACTTCAGCTCAGGGACATGAATCAGGAGGAGGAAAGGCTTCAGCCACTCCTGAGCCTAAATCTGGCGGGATTGCCCTCCAATCCCTCCTTGCCCTCTAGCTATGGGCACAGGGTGAGATTTGACCTGGGGACTTGCTGATTTGTAGCTCAGTCTTAGCCACTACCAATGTTAGCTCCAGAAATGCGTGCACGTGCATGTGTGAACCAGTCCTAATGCTCCTTAGACCCAAAGCCATCTTAGGCGGGAGAAACTGGTGATGTAACAACCTCCTCAAAGTGGTTAGCCCCTCTACAGTAAACCAAGTGTGCAAAATCACTCCAGTGTCCGATCCCCACACAGCTGTCAATCGAATACACATTTGTAGCAAAGTATTATTTTATTGAAGCCATGATGAAGCAGGAACAAGTTCACTGTTTGGAATAACTACAATGGTCGGGGCAAGGAATAATAAAGCAGATTCATACTATCAAATAACCAATGGACATGGTTCCCGCTCACGCGGGTGGACTCTCATATTCGCGCCCATAGTATGGGACTCAACGGCTCCTAAAAGATAAACAATTAAGCTCTAATTCATTATAGACTAAGCGAAGCCGACTCTTCCCTGCACCTGTGACCTTGCTGATTACCGTAGTTCAAAACAACACTAGCGTTCATAGTCCAGAAATGCATGCATGTGCATGTGTGAACCAGTCCTAATGCTCCTTAGACCCAAAGCCATCTTAGGCGGGTGAAACTGGTGGTGTAACAACCTCCTCAAAGTGGTTAGCCCATCTACAGTAAACCAAGTGTGCAAAATCACCCCAGTCTCCAGCTCTGAGAAATATTTACTTTGACCACTTGGTAGCAAAAGATTCAGAGTGCCGTCCCATAAGAGTGATTTGATTCTGCCAGTCAAGCAAAGCAGCTCTCAGGGAAAATATTAAATTACTTTTTATCTCTCGACTGCACACATGTGTAACGTTCTAGTTGCAAGCCAAAGCAATATTATTCCAGGCTCACAATGCATCATTAACTCTGTGTGTGCGTGTGTGTGTGTATACACACACACACACAGATGAGAGAGAGAGAGAGATGCAACCAAGCAAGGCTGATGTCTCCATTGAGATCAGAGAACAACAGAGATTCTCACAAAACACTTTGCTTCCCAGGTTAGTTTTGAGCGCTGTGTCTGACTATTTTGCTGCAATGTTCACCAATGATGTCCGTGAAGCAAAAGAAGAGGAAATAAAAATGGAGGGTGTGGATCCTGATGCTCTGCAAGCACTTGTGCACTACGCCTACACAGGTAAGTCCACTTCCTCAGGTTATAAATGTACACAGAGCAGTTGGCTTTGTGGTTTCCATTTGGACTGTGGTTCGGGAGTCAAACTTGCACATTCTCTAGATGTGACTGCTAGAGTTGTGCATCCAAAGAATAGAAGGAAATAATAATCAGCCTCCCCATGTCTGGTCTCCCTCCCCACCTTGGTTTGCTAACTACAGTTCCCCCAGTGCGCCAACATGTTGCTCATCCTTGTCAGTCCTTTGTGAGGTTTTACTTCAGCCTGGTTTTGTAATGACATCTCCTTTCTTCAGCACTGCGCCTCCTCTCTCTCTCTTCTTATCCCTTCTTTGACTTTTCTAAGCATCCTAGCTTATCAGGTTGGCAATGCCCACTCTGTCATAGTCTCCTTCTCTCTGGAGATCCTTCCTACTTGTCTTCCTGGTGTGAAGTCATTCAGCATGGCTACTACCACATTTTCTGCCTTCAGACACAGCCCTTCCTCTCTGTAGACCCCATGAAACGCACCACCCAGTTAAACAGGGCTTTCTCTCTCCTCTCAGTACTTGTACTGTTTTTCTGAGCAGCTACCATGTTTGTGAGCCTTGTCTGACATCACAGCAGCTCAACCAATGGCTGGGTGGAGAAAGTGCTCTCACAAGTGACAGGTTGCTGATAGCTGAGAACTACTTAAAAATGGCCCCAATCCACATTTTAAATTATTATTTCTGGATACCACTCTTAAGATATACATGGCTGACTTTTAACAATGATTTCTCTCAGGTTTTTCATTTTTTTCTGGCAAGCATGTGTGTTTTATTTTTTAAACGAGCAGGTGTCTTGGAACTCAAGGAAGACACCATCGAGAGTTTGCTGGCTGCAGCTTGCCTCCTTCAGCTTCCACAAGTGATTGATGTTTGCTGCAACTTTCTTATGAAGCAGCTTCACCCTTCAAACTGCTTAGGGATCCGGTCCTTTGGAGACGCTCAGGGATGCACTGAACTCTTGCGAGTGGCGCATATGTATACCATGGTGAGAACAAGACCACATGATCCCTGTCGATCATTAATTGAAGAATATGTGAGGGTGTATTGTGAAGGGAAGAAATGAGTGGAGATTCTGGTGGAATTGGCGGGAGCAAAAGAACTAATTATGTTATGAGTATGAATCAATATTGAATAGAAGAAAGTTGAATCATCTAGCTTAGTACGAGGTCTCTGTTCCAGGGGTAGCGAAACTGATTTCTTGCGAGCCACATGTGCACAACCCCCTCCTCTGATTGTTATAAACAAACAGAGAAGAATTAGTTACTCTGTTGGTGTTGTTTGTTCTTTGTACCTCTAGAACTGCAAGTGTGAACTTCCCAAAACAACAGCTTGGCTCTGACAGATTCACTGTGGCATACGCTTTTGAGGATTAGTACTTACTTCATCAGGTGCATGCTTTCAGTTGATAGATACATATACATGGGCTTAGAGGGGGGGAAATGGTAACCAGTGAAAGCTCAAATGTCTACAAGACAAATGCAGTGATCATTCAAAACTGCACTAGTCGGTGAGAGTAATAATCTAGCTAGAATTGCTGAAAGGGTTGTTACACTGCCTTCCCTGCCGTTGTGGCCCTGATTCAAGTTGGACCTTGCTACTTTTAACTACAAGAAAAGTAAAGCTTAGAAAGATTCAGTGATGTATCATCCGGCATCTCATCTAGTTTGACCCTCGAGCACAATTATTTTCTGACCGTCTGAAAGCAGGAGATTTGGCATATAAGACAACATGGAGAGCTAAAACACATGAGTGGGAAAGCCTGGGAATGAATCCGTGGATGGATTATACCAATTCAGATTCTAGGAGACTGGGATCAAGGACAGGGTTCTAGACTAGCATCCTCCCTGAAAATTTAGCCCCTCCCCTGAGAGAGAGAGGGAAAG